CCAAAACTGACCCCAGCCCTGACCCCAAACCCCAACCCCTGACCCCAAAGCTGACCCCACAACTGACCCCAACCCTGACTCCAAACCCCAACCTCTGACACCAACCCTGACCCCAATCTGACCCCAACCCTGACCCCAAACCTGACCCCGAACCCCAACCCTGACCCCAAACCCGACCCCAAACCCAACCCCAAAGCTGACCCCAACCCCTGACCCCAAACCCCAACCCTGACCCCAAATCTGCCCCCAAACCTGACCCCAAACCCCAACCCCTGACCCCAAACCCCAACCCCTGACCCCAAACCCTAACCCCTGACCCCAACCCCGACCCCAAAGCCGACCCCAAATCCCCATATCCCGCAGGTTCTGTGCCGGCTCATCAACAGCCTCCACCCTCGGGATCGGCCGCCGGTGCCCAAAATCCAGGGATCCTCCATGGCCTTCAAACAGATGGAGCAAATATCCCAATTCCTGCAGGCGGCCGAGCGCTACGGGATCGCCCCCACGGATATATTCCAGACTGTGGATCTATGGGAAGGTGGGAATGGGATTGGGAATGAGGGGGGTTATGGGATCGCCCCCACCGACATGTTCCAGACCGTGGATCTGTGGGAAGGTGGGAATGGGAATTGCACCGGGAATGGCACCAGGAATGGCACCAGGAATGGCACTGGGAATGGGATGGAATGGGATTGGGAATGATGGGGGTTATGGGATCGCCCCCACGGATATATTCCAGACCGTGGATCTATGGGAAGGTGGGAATGGGAATGGGAATGAGGGGGGTTATGGGATCGTCCCCATGGATATATTCCAGACCGTGGATCTCTGGGAAGGTGGGAATGGGAATGGGACTGGGAATGATGGGGATTATGGGATCGTCCCCATGGATATATTCCAGACCGTGGATCTGTGGGAAGGTGGGAATGGGATGGGGATGGGAATAGGAATGGCACTGGGAATGATGGGGGTTATGGGATCGCCCCCACCAACATATTCCAGACTTTGGATCTCTGGGAAGGTGGGAATGGGAATGGGATTGGGAATGATGGGGTTTATGGGATCACCCCCACCGACATGTTCCAGACCGAGGATCTCTGGGAAGGTGGGAATGGGAATGGGAATGGGATTGGGAATGGGATTGGGAATGATGGGGGTTATGGGATCGCCCCCATGGATATATTCCAGACCGTGGATCTCTGGGAAGGTGGGAATGGGATGGGAATGGGATTGGGAATGGGATGGGAATGGCCCCAGCCCATGGATCTCTGGGAAGGGGGCACAGGGTGGGCACAGGGTGGGCACAGGAATGGGAATGAGTGTAGGCACAGGGATGGGAATGGATGTTATGGGATCTCCCAGTCCATGGATATCCATGAAGGGGGCACAGGGATTGGGAATGGGATGGGAATGGATGTTATAGGATCTCCCAGCCCATGGATATCTATGAAGGGGGCACAGGGTGGGCACGGGGTGGGCACAGGGTGGGCACAGGGTGGGCACAGCCCGGTGCCAACCCTGTGGGGTCTCACAGGGAAGAACCTGGCGTGTGTGCAGCGCACCCTGATGAACCTGGGCAGCCTGGCAGCCGCCAAGGGCGACGGGCTCTTCCGAGGAGACCCCAACTGGTTCCCCAAGTAGGTGCCA